GTTAGCTATGGTTTATGATATTTTTTTTAAATTGTCGGGTGTCGGGATTTTTGCTGTCGGGATTTTTTTGTCGGGATTATGACCTGTCGGGATTTCGCTTGTCGGGATTTTGACCCAAACCCCAATATATGCCACTTGCTATATGATTATAGATTAGTATATATTAGTATAATATACATAGTTGTATACTAGTGTATGTCAGTATACTCCACATGGTTGTATACTACTGTATGCCAATCTAACAGTTATTTAAAGGAAGGTTTTTTTCTCTTACCTCAACAAACATTCCTAGATATCTCTAAAGTAGATAATGAATAGAAACTATTAAATACTCTTTGGAATATTGTTCTCTAAATAGTTCTATAATATTCTCTTTGTTCTAATGATCTTGTAATGTCTTTATTGTCTCTAAAATAAGTAAATAAATCCTTCTGCTTAACCTTCTCTCTTGCTTTTCCTAAACTCTTCTTTAAAAATACTGCTATAACAATATATATAGTTGTAACCTGGAGGCAGCACCAATATTTCTATATTCAACTTGTGAGTATTTGTTTGAAAGATGATACAATAGTAGCCAAAACAAGAGAAGAGATGATATATAACTATAGGCTGCAGTAAAGGATTATACTTTAACTAAAATTAGAAGTACTTCTAGTCCTGCTGAAAAATTTACTAATAAAAGGTTACTCAACTTAGAAATATAATCTATTCTTATACAACTAAATATATCAAATTGGAGCTTTTATATAAAGTCTATGACAAAAAAAATTAAAGATTTATTAGTATAAATACTGCATCAACTAGGGTTGAGATACTTTAAGTTGAAAGTTGTACAATATATATAATAAAGATCAATAGCTAAAAGTATATCAGTAATTGTATATAAAACAAGTTCTTATCAAATATTATAAAAGAAAGTACAAATAGAATAGAAAAGTATACAAGCACATAAAAAACTAAAAAAAAGAACAATAAAAACCTGTAAATAGCAAACTAGCAGTAGCAGCAGATTCTTAACTTGAAATATAGCTTAATAGTATCTAGGCAAATAAGTAAAAGAATTAGATATTTATGAAAATGAAAAATGTAAACTGGTATAATTTAATCAGTATAAACCTAAAATATGTTCCAATTTATTATATAATATCAACTTTGTTATATAATGAATTTAATTATATAGCAGAAATCTAGTTTAAAATATATATATAAGAGGCTCTTAGCAGACATACTAATTTGGAAAATCTTTAGAAATTAATTAGCCAAATAAACCAAATTAAAAATTACTAAGGTTTGATTGTAAGTTATAGGATAAATATAGTTAAGTAACTAAAATTAGTTATTGTGAAGTACAAAAACCAGTTAATATAAAGGTAGAATGCAGAATACTCTAGTAAGTTTAAATTATAGATAAAGTAGTTTGAATTTTATATTTGAAAATTAGTTTAATAGTAAATATATAGATAAGCAACAAAGTTGTATAGTAGTATACAAACTTGAAAATTAATAAAAATACAAGAGATATAACCTTACCTTCATATTAAAAAACATCTGCAAATAATATTATTAACAATTATAATGCAACTTGTTATTATTATTCAAAATATTGAAATTATGAATGTTCTATAGAAATAAAATATTATAAAGAATTTCTTTTAGTAAAATTATTAATTACAAGTATATATATTACCAAAATAAGTTTTTAAAAAAATTCTATTTTATCTTCATTAAAGCAAATTAGAATTTTTTATATACAAGAGCAGATTTAATTTAGATAATTATATTTTTTATAATTTCATCTTTCAAAAAGTGTTAAAAAATTTTATTTTTTAATTGATAATTTTCCAGTGAACTGAAGAATCATTATAGTGTAATATAACAGTTCTATATGTAAATTACTATAGACGCAAAAGAAAAAATTTTTTAGTGATTGTTTAAGGAAAACATTTTTTATACTAAGTTAATTACCTTAAAAATTCTTTGTATTGTTTTTAAAGAATTTTATATAGATAGCAAACTGTTTTTTAAAAATACAGTATCTTGGCATCTACTATACTAATTTTGATGATCTAACTATCTTTAGATTTGTCTTAATAAGCTCTAAAACTTTACTTAAAAACTCAAAGATAATATGAAAAAAATTTTCTTTAAACAATTACTAGAAACTTTTTCTTTTATATCTATATGTCACATTATACTATATTATTCTTCAGTTCACTGGAGAATTGTCTATTAAATAAAATAAATCAAAAACAATTTTGGTTTTAAATTTTAATTTTGGGTTTTAGCCTCCAAAATAATTTTGTTAACATATATTATTAATTATAAAGTTCATATAAAATAATAACCAGTCTTTTTAACCAATCTCATAATTAACTAATTCACATTTTAATACTAGTTTAGATTAGTCTTCATACAATAAATACCTAAACCTAATAGCTGTGAACCTCCACTCAATAATACTTGAATAAAAACCTTGCCTAAAAAAGCTAGTTAATAAAAAAAATAAATAAATAAAAACTTCAAAATTGCAAATAAAGCAATTTAATTCAGTGTTGGCCTATGACCTTATATGACCTATATGACCTTTATGACCAGTCATAGGTCATTTGGTCATAACGAAGATTGATATGACTTATGACCTTTTTTAATATAGTAAGAATCATGGTAAAGATTTTTTTCATTAGTATTTGATATGACCGGATGACTATGACCAAAAAGTCATATAATTATATGACCAAGGTCATATAGGAAAAAAAATGGTATGACATAGTCATCGGCCAACACTGATTTAATTAGCTAACCTATTTCTATTATTGGTATTATTCCTCTGTATATAATACTGGTCTTATACCAATCATATAATATGGTATAGTATAAACTCGCATCCCTAGTTTGTCCAATTTTCATATCATGTGACTAATTTGCCAATTAGCTAATTAAACTAAAGAAATCAAACTCAGGATTAAATCGATTAATTGTTTTAAATTTTCTAAAAAGTTGGTAAGGCACCACGTGACCCACGATTTTACCTAATTGTTTTTTTAACGTTAATGAATTATTAATCAAATCCAACTCGGATATATTTTTATTATCCGGATATAAATAAAATCAAAAATATATCCGGATTAATCTATTTTAAATCCGGATATAAATATTTCCGAATGTATCCGGATATAAATTTATATCCAAACATAAATATATATCCGGATATGAATATGTATCTGGATATAAATATATATATGTGTCCATTATTGGATAGACGACAAAAAATAATACGTAGTCAATTTTTTTTTGTCAGAATTAATATCACTCCATGTGTTGCGTAGCAGCACATGAGTGAAATTAACTCCGATGAAAAAAAAAAAGCCTGTTATTGATGTTATCCGATAGCTAATATGACCATGTGAAGTTTTTTCTGTGATATTTTGCAAAACTGATTACATAATTTCATGTAAAAATATCATGGCAAAAAATTCATATGATCATATCGATATGAAGTGTCGGGATTTATTTTCTATCCGGATTTATATTATATCCGGATACAGATATTCAAAAAATTGAATCCGGATTTTATTCAAAATCCGGATTAATCCGGATATTATTCAAAATCCGGATTAATCCGGATATAAATATATATCTACTATCTCTAAATCCAACATTTTAAATACGTATAATCAACGTGTTTTTAAATTCTACAGCATAGGTGACCATTGGCCTTTAAGTTATAACTGATGTCTTAGGCGTAACTTTTTTTTTTTAAAAAAAAACAAAGATGATAAAGCAAAGACCTTTAAATTATTTTATTTTACCCTTATTAATTAATTACTGTATATAGTAACTTATTTAAAAGTATTATTTAACATCATTCGATATTTTTTTTACGTATTTCATTTAATGGGATAGCGCTATTAATTTGTGATATTTAAAAAAACAAAAGTACGTACGTACGTACGTATGTAATGTGTACGTACCAGTACAAATATAAGTAACTGTTCTGAAGCCGCAAAACTTGTCTCATATAAATACGTATATAGAAAAAACAACAATTTTAAACGTGTTATTTTAAATATTATTATCTTAACTCGTGAGAAGCTTCAATGGAAAATAATTTCTAAACTCATTTTAACTAATAATTTTATTATTCATTTACAAAAGACGCATTATTATATCATACACACTGAAAGAGGTATTACAAGTACGTACGTACGTCAGATTGATTAAAGTTAATGATACGTAGCAATGTATAGATAAATAAATAAATAACAATAAAAATATATTAATAAATAAATAAATAAATAAATAAATAAATAAGAGAATTGCTAATTTTCACCGGAGGTAAAATTCACCGGGGTGCTATATCTCAAAAACGTACTAGCTAACACCTCTCAAGGGTACTAAGTAAAAATGTTCAGAACCCCTAAAAACCTTATGCCAACTAAAATTGGGGTCCTAATATCTAACCCTAAGCTTTGTCAAAATTTTACCCTAACCCTAAAAACATAAGGGTGGTGATTTTACCTCCGGGTAAATGTAGTTATTTTCAATAAATAAATAATAAAATAAAATATATAAATAAATAAATAAATAAATAAATAAATAAATAAATAAATAAATAAATAAATAAATAAATACGTATCAGATATATTATAAACAATAAAATAAATAAATAAAAAATACAATAAAATGAATAAATAGATATACAGATAGATATCGATATACGTACGTACCCTTTAATAATATGATGAATATTGTACATGTAATTATCGTTATAGTAATTATTATATGTGTAATAATTACATTTTTGAAATCCCTCATTTATAAGTGAAATCAATCTTTTCGCTCAAGATCGGATTATAATAACTTATTCTTTCTTGCATCATTCATCTATAAAGCTTGATGTCATAAAATTCTTTTTTAAACACACCTTCGAATTTATAAATTAGGTTTTATTAACCTTTTCTGAAAATTTATTGGTCATTGATATATAAAATTAGGATAAAATGGAGCCTCCAAAAAATTTTGAGGATTTTATATTACCAAGATCATCATTTTTCTTAAGAATACGTGACTCAAGAATTTTACCTCCTTCATCCCCACCTTCACCTCCTTTATATTTTCGTAACTATACATTCCCTCCCGCTGAGAATAACGACAATACAACAGAAATTGTTCGACCTGAAGATCATGAAACTTCTTGTCAGTTTGCTTTAACACTTTCACCCACTACTATGTATCCCGCGTCAAGAACTTCAGCTCGTTCTACTTCTCGATATTCTTTCGCCATGGATTATGATATTAACATTACTGTTACCAATGATGATGACCCTTTTACTGATGATACTGATCTTAACATTCCAGAGTCACGTGAAACAAATATCCCAAGGCCCCTTCAGCATAATAACGGTAATGAAAGGGCTTTATACGCACCTTTATCCGCTATGAATTCTGATGAAAATTCGAGAAATTCGCCAAGGTCTTTATTCAATCAATCTTCAAGTATCATTTCTAATTTCTAATTCTTATATAATACATATATATCTTTTTATGCTATATACCTCATTAATAATAGAAATAATGAGTGGACAAGAGCAATCACTAATCCATCACGGTCAGAACGACCACAAAATGAACAACGAGCCTCAGAGAGACGACAGAATTACATGCAGGAATCACAAATATCGTGGCTTGGACAACATCCATATGCACTGACAAGCTTTCAACAACATTATGAACAAGATGATAAACCAGATTTATCACAAGAAAACTCAAATGTGATGTTAACAGAATCTGAAACTTCACAATCAGTTCATTATAAAGAATTTACACCTGATCTCTTTCTGTTTAGTATTTTTGACGCGATTATGAAATATCTTAATGCGGAATACGCGTTACGATCTTCGTTAAAAAACTCTAGATATGTTGTTTTATTACGTGTACCAATTTTAAAGAGATCTTTTGGTGGATTTAAAGGAACGTATGTCTTGGCAAAAGAACTGGTAGCAGAAATGGCACTTGAAGAATTGATAAAACAAATGCCTCACGTTGTTTATATAGTATTGAAATCTAAAGGACTGGATGACGTTCTAGACGTAGGTGAATTAGAAGAACTTTGTGCAAATAGAAATATGATGGCAATGGAAAGGGAGAATGGATTGAGAGTTTCACAAAAACAGATACGTCCGCTGTACAAAGAATATTGCCGTGAAGATGATGTTGAAATTGAGAAATTGGATGAGAATAGTCTGGAAACATATTGTCCTATTGAAAACTTGGGAGAATGTCCTATTGAAAACTTGGGAGAATGTCCTATTGAAAACTTGGGAGAGTGTCCTATTGAAAACTTGGGAGAATGTCTTATTGAAAACTTGGGAGAATGTCCTATTGGAAGCTCGGAAGAAAGGAGCCCATATTCAGAAGGAAAGAGCTCGACGTCTCAGCATTCAAAAGAAAAGAACTCGACGTCTCAATATTCAGAAGAAAAGAGCTCGATGTCTCAATATTCATATGAAAAATGTAGTTCAAAATCTGAATACAGTGATTCCGAAATTTGCACAGAATCTGAAAATGAAGATGACAATGATTTTTCTATATAGTTGCTTAGGTGCATTCATTCAAACAGATTCAGAAGAAAGAAAATCACATACCTTAAGAATAATTAATATTTCTCGACGTTAAAGTACCGGTAATTATATTATACTATCACGTGCTAGTAAAATACATAGAACTGTGTGCAGCACACAGAAACAAAAATTTTGCGCATTTTGTAAGTAGTGCGCACACTTGTAAACAGTTGCTTATAGTTTTTCTTTATTTGCCGCACAAATCGATACGTACGTACTGTACGTACAGATTTGTATTTAGTTAGCTGTTAGAACATCATAGAACAAATTAGATGCGAACTTTGTCTTCAAGTATTACAAACATATTAAGTTTGCAGCATCATGTGATTTATAGCAATTTACTTTATATATTACGATTTCTGTAACACGATAAACAAGTTTATTTACAGACCTTTCATTGAAATATGGCGTCAACAGGAATTAGTAAGACAAATTGGGTTCGCCAAATATTTCAGCGCTTTATTACAGGACCAAATTTCGATAGTCTTTTTCTGAAAGACGTTTAGTATTTTTCTCGATCCAAATATATTATTATGAATAAAAATGAATTAATTACAATTGTATAATTAATAAATATACATTAATTCGAACTTTTAAAATTCATAGATGAAAATCACAAACGCAACAGATGGTAAAATTAGCGCCGAAATGCTTGTTCAAGCACATCATATGGTAGTATTAAGCTTTTTTATTTTAAAGCTTTAAAGTTTAATTTAAAAATATTTAACAATAAGAATAAATTACAATAGAATCGTTTAGATTCACTTCATGGAGGAGTGATAGCATCGTTAGTAGATGTTTGTGGATCGCTAGCTATAGCATCTAAAGGAATGTTTGCAACAGGAGTTAGTACTGATATAAATGTTTCATATATCGGTTCAGCAGGGAATGGAGATACTTTACTTGTGGTAAATAAAAAATTTTTTTTTCCTTCTGAGAAAAATTTTCGCGTAACAGTTTAATTAATAATCTATTATCGTATTAGAATGCAGAATGTGTAAGGCTTGGTAGAACACTTGCATTTACCACTGTAGAAATGCACAATAAAGTTAATGGAAAATTAATAGCACAAGGTAGACACACTAAATACGTTGTTAACGCTCATAATGACCCCAGGAATGAGTTTAAGATTGAAAATTCAAAGATTTAAAAAAAAAAATTTCAATGAAACTAAAAAAGTCAAAGTTGAAACCAATGTATATAATGTAGATGTTTTCTATATTGTATAGAATATTTATCTATATTATTGATATTTTATATAACGATAACGCTAAATAAATTTTTTTGTCGCTTTTACCAATTTTGACAATTAATTTCAAAGCGCACCAGTTAACGTTCATTTGAAATAATTTGGAAATAATTAAATAATTTGAAATAGAATCCAGTTTCATGTTTTTCTCTATATACTGTAAATAACAATATATTATCTATTATTATTTTTTTTTTTATCACATTATATTATGCTTTTATCCATTGTTTACAAAATATAACGCTAAGCCTTCATCTATTATAACAAATATTCCTTATCTGGTATCACTCAAAGACTAGCTTCACTCAAGGATACAAACAATACTGCATAGAATATTATGTTAAATTGACCCAATCACCCCGCATTATGTTATTTAGCACAAGGAAGTTAGAACGAAGAAAGTTTCTTTTTTCCATTTCTAATTTCAGTATAAGGTTTTTTTTTTCATTGTTGTTCCTTTAAAATTTTAAACTTTTGAAATAATACTTTATTTCTTACTTTTTTTATTATAGCATATTATTACAAATGTACGCACGTATGTACAAAAGCGTATAGAGTTTAATCTCGATCAAAGCATCATTTGATGAGATTTACATACGTAGTAAGAATTAAATGTAATCCATAATAAAAAGGTAAGAGCAGAAAATAGAAAACAAAGGATTTATACCGCATATTATATCGATCTAACCAATCCTTGCGCTTGATCAACTTCTTTAATAACCTTTGATCCCATGTCATTTTCATTATCGTCATGAATCTTTCGGAATTACCATATTAACATTAATTAATTAATTAATGAATAACATCCCGAAAGACTTATCGTTAGGCTTGACTAAAAACTTATCGTTAGGCTTGACTAAAAAACCTATCGTTAGGATAAGCAGTATGTGACCAATGAGAATCTTTCAAATATACATCTTTATAAAATGGTTTGACAGGTACAACGCGGCACAAAAAGGCGAAAAATAACAAACCGTAAATAAATCGGTGAAAATAGTAATACTTGATAAAAGGTTAATGATTGGGTATTACTGGGTCAACGTTTTTTTTTTCGATCCATCACAAATCTATGTTCACCTTAACACACATAAACAGGGAAAATCATTTTCACTTAGGGTATTTATACAGTATTGGTATTAGAGTTTATTTTGCTAAAATCATTGTGATAAATTGTGATAACTAGATCAACGCATACAAGCTCAAAAGTGTACTCCGTAAAATTTAAGATTTTTGATTGGTGTTAATATTTTAACGTTAAAGGTTAGATCCAAAATGGTAAAACAATGGGAATTAATAATCTAATAAGGGCGTAGCAACGTTCAACGTTTGAATACGTAGTTAGAAAAAAGGCGTAATAACATTAATAGCTTGAAACTTCGCCACTATATCCACTATATATGAAACAAGAACATAAGATAATAAAGACTTACGCCTAACGTCGGGCGGTTATTTCGCTTCTATCGTTTTTATAAAGACTTTTCTATGCACCAACTGCAATTTCAATACGATAAACTCCTTTTCTCCTATAAATGGTTATATCTTTTGGTAATCCCCAGATCTCCTTCTAGTCATCTGACTTTTAAAAGGCGCTCGTATTATCGTTATCGCTACCAAGTATCATTTTGTGTCCTGCATAAAATGGTTTCACGAAAATGTTCCAAGTAAAATGCTTCCAAAAAAAAAGGAGGGAAAAAGCCAATAGCAAAGATTTTTCCCAGGATGAAATTCTTAATTATTGGATCTATACTTCTTTAAGAACATTACCATCTCCTTTTTTAGTCAATATAATTATTTCGATCTTCGATTTTCTTCATTAAAACTTAATTAACCAACGATAAATTTAACTAGCATTAATAAAAATAATCTTTGGTACAGAGTTTGTCATTTAGTGATGAGGCTAATAAACTTCTTTAATGGTTAGGATAAAAATAGAGCCATTCTCTTTGGTACCACGTGAACGAATAGAAGATAACTGTTGACTTTTTTAGGCCCTGCAGATAGGCATTTTTGGCTTCGTCTATGTAAGTACGTACGTACCGGTACATATAAAGAATAAATGCTACATTTGGTAACTAAAAGGCATATTAGGTATAATATTACAGATTTATACTTCAAGATTTCCAAAGGGGATTATGTTACCCTGAACATGACCTATTCCCGTTCTGCATTTCCTCTCAACCGTTACACAATTAGACGAGCATTCGGCCTAAATAATAATTTAGTACACGTAATATCGCATGGATATTTCTTTGTGGATTCTGGCGGGATTTTTTTTTTTTTTTTTGAAATAACAACTATCTATTTATTTTATTAACGTTAATATAAATATAAAAAAAAAAAAAACGCGAAAATTATTGTATATATGCGCCGGCCGGAAATATTCACGGATAAGACATATGTGAGTTGTTGATTTTTTTGTGCACTGCATATTCGTTATTCAACTTCTTTCATTTTTTAAATTATCGTTATTCGCCCACAAATATATCATGTGTGATAAACTAAAAAAATATATAGCGGATAATCTGTGACATCGTAGGAAAAGTCTCTTGCAAGAAATTTTTTTTTAGACTGTGATTATTGTAACCTGTGACAAATCCTTTAATTCGTTTGGTCCGTTTTTTTTCCTCGTGTTGTTTCTTTTTACGAATTTTTAGTTGTGTTGTCTTTTTTTTCTTTCTTCCTTTTAACTTTCCTTTTCACTACCACACTTTTTTTTTTTTTATTTTATTTTACAAAAAAGAAAAAAAATATATATTGAGATTTGCAGCGGGCTGCTGGTACCAAAGCCTTCAGTTATTCCACAAAGCGAGCAATTTTTGTAATACTCGTTTAAAGAAATATTTAAATATCAGTGGTAGTAACACATACGTATACCAACAAACACTTCAACCTCAACCACAGCCATTATCACTATTATAGTCTTTTTTTTTCGAAAAGAAACTTTAAAAAGAAGGAAAAAAAATATATATACAACAAAAAAAAAAAATAATAATAGTAAAAAATAAAAAAAATCAATAACGAAAGAAACGAAAAAAACTTGCAAATCAAGCATTTACCTTAAGTCACTTAATTCACTTAACGCATAAGTGATCCTTTGAAGAGTAAGAACAATCAGTCTTTGAAGGAAATATATTCGGACAACCTTTTTTTTCAAAACTCTTAATGTTCTATAATATCAGATGTCGAAAAGGATAATGGGGAAAGTTGCTCCTGCTTTCGAGATTCGTTTCAACGAGACAGGTTCGGTGAGTGAATATTTCTCGTTCTGACTGATCAACTTGTAGTTAAAAAAAGATGTTTAAGGTTTTCTCTCTCATAATTATTAACATAATTATTAATTACTCTTTGATCATTTCTTTAAAACAGGGGATTGAATCTGTTCCGATACATCCGAATAACCCACATGAACCAAACGTACCGGACCCTTTCAGAAAACGTGATAAAATCCCTCGAAACTCTGGTAATATATCAGAACATCCGACAAATAATTTTAACTTACCTCCACAAAAACCTAGCGTTGATACACGAACATCACCTTCAACTCTCAATAAACAATGTACTAAAAATAATGGTGATAGTTTTCATGGTTCTCAATTAAAAACATTAAAAGACGTCAATAATTCAAGTAACTCTTCATTTAATGCAACTGATGCTCCCACCAAAGTAAAATCATGGAATTCTGTTGGCCCTGAAATTGACAAACAGGATCATGTGATTACTGGTAAGATCGAAAAAGACTCATTTATGGATAATGATAATCCAACCACGAGTACAAGCTCAACTATAGCATTTGATTCAGCTATACGGAATAATCATTCCAACAAAAAACGCCCGTTGCCTGAAGAAAGTGGTAGTGAAAAGGAAAATGTTAACGTCAGCTCTGATAATACTATTCAAACTCCTTATTTAAATAAAGATTTGAATGGTACTACTGAGATGGTCGTATCGATTACCAGGAAGAATACACTAAAAAGTAACCATAAAAGTAAAAAAATCAATACAAATGATTATAAAGATGATGATAATAACATTATAGTAAAGGGTATAGCTACTCCACCTGCCACTCCACCAAGAAGTCCTCCCATGACTCCAATGATTACACAGACTCCGTCTAGTAGTGAATCAACTTCTGAGACAGGTCATCCTATAACCCCAATGACAGCACAGACTCCAATTAATGATGGGTCAACTTCTGAATCAATCACCATAACAGCTTTGACTCCAACTAATGATGGGTCAACTTCTGAATCAGTTATCATAACAGCACTGACTCCAACTAGTAATGGTTCAATATCTGAAATTGGCTCCATAACGGCTCAGAATCCAACTCTTACAAATGAAAGAAGCTTTTTACTAAGTCCAAAATCATCGGAAGATTTTCCAACGGTAGAATCAAAATCAACTTCTACGGAATCACAAATTCCACCAACCTCCCGTGCTCCAAGAATGTCAAAGTCTCGTCCGATCATTACTGCTTATTCATTAGAATTACAGGAACAAATTGAATCCGAATCTCCAACAAATAATGAAACTCCCAGAAAAACCATTATTTCTCATGATGACATAATCATACCCACTTTAGCAAAAAAACTTAAAATGAATGGACAATTGCCTTATTCTAATCATGATGCTCTGCTAGGAATTAGTGATGAACTTGATGAATATGTTACACCGGGACCAAGACCAGAATCAGGATATATGGATGTAACTGATCAAGTTGAAAATCTTTTTGAAGATGTAAACAATCAAGTTGAAGATGAGCCACTAAAGAATGCGAAAAAACGATCGTCAGTTGCAAGTTATCAACGACGTCGGCGGCGATCTGCGCCGAGAAGGCCGACAAGAATCTCAACTAGATCTCGTCCAAGTTCTCGAAGGAATAGTAAAACATATAGTAGTGTTGAAGTACAAACTGATGATACAATGTTTGCTTATCCAATGGAGGATGATCCTTCTAATGAAGATGTTAAAAAACGTGATAGAAAATCGCGAAGAGAGGAGTTTGTGTTTTTGGTTAAAGATGATGATGAATTTGATATTGAGGTAAATTTCTATATTCTTAAATGTTCTCACATGATTTCCCTTGTAAATTTTGATTTTTTTTGATTTTTTTTTTTGTAATTTAATTTAATAGCCAATAACACATTCCGAATCGTCGACTTCAACTAAACCGAAACCACTTGTCCTAGAAAATGAGCCTATTGAGCAAAATGCGACGTTGACAGGAATTAGTAATGTATGTTAAAATAATAATGATTGCTTGTAGTGGTTTCTGTAACTAATTTTTTCCCTTTTAAAGAATTCGTTAACGACACAGAACGAAGGACAAAATGTCATGGTTCATCCAGTTCAATCCAATGTTACACCTATCGCGTTGAAACTTGAAAGAACTTTAACCAAAAGCTCAGATAACAAAAAGAAGCGAAAGAAGGATAAGAAAAATAAAAAGAAAAAAGTTGAAGACGATGGTTATGTTGAAAAATCAGTTTGCTGTTGTGTCATCTGTTAATTTATTTACATTCCTAACATTGCCGAGCATTCCACGCATGGGTATTCTGTTATATAAAATTGCATTTGTATTTATTGCTAGATCTGTGTTCCACTTTAGAGAACCGATGAATGTATCAGTCCGTTCCTCCCGTCCGCGGGAACCTAATGGGTTCATACGGCTCCCGCGGGCGGGGGAACAAAAGATTTTTTTTTTTTTTTTTAACGATTTCACTTTATACTTGAAAAAAATTTTCTTTTGCAGAAAGAACATCTTAAGATTTCAACACATTGTATTATTTTTTTTCATACTTCATTATATTTGTTGAGACAATTATTTGTATTTTATATCATATTACTTTCTGCTAGACTTTTTTTATTCTTGCTTTTAATTATGTATACTTTATATCTATTATCGATTTTTCAATATGGCAAAATGCTTCTGTAACTATTATAACGCGCTTATCACATCGGAGGGGGGATTCACATTTAAAAATTCATTAAAAAAAAAAAAAAGAAAAAAAAAAAATATTTAACGCTTTCATTTTGTGAAATATAGCGGTGCCAGGGTTTTGTTCGGATTGGTTCTTTAGATTTCATAATTCTCCAATGTGGGCGTTATAATATCGTTATGTGATTTGATGGGAAACTGTGCGAAAATGCGGCATGTATTTCTATATATATACCATCAATGAATAAAAAAAAAAAAAAAAATAACTCCCTCTTATTCACCGTTTTTAAACTTAATTTATAACTTTGAAAACGGGGGAAACGGAGGGAAAGAATAAATCTTAAACAAATCTATCAATTTTATTCTTTTTTTTTTAACAGACTTCCCAATTGTTAAAAAATTTAACTTGGTAGGTTGGTACAATATCATTATAGTGTAAACATTCCTTTTTGAAATTTTAATGTAGAAACTTTTAGGATTTGTTCTTTTATTTTATTTTTTTTTAACACGTTAAGTAATTCTTAAAAGAGTATGTGAACAGAGTAGCGAGTAACGGTTTGTTACAAATTTTTATAGCGAAAGCATGGTGATCACGTGCGCTGCTCATTATTGGCTCAAATCAGCGTTTACCTGTATTGAACAAAACCACATGAAGTGCAAGTGCAAAAAAAGAGAAAAAGAATAGATGAATTAACGTTAAATGAATCATACTATTTTATTGAGCTTAAGTGCTCTCAGATATATCATTTTTCACAAGGTTTTTTCACATAAAAAATTAAAATTCCTTCTAAAGGCCTTAAGGTTCATCTATTTTAACATCATTGAGTTTTTTGTTTCTTTTAAAGTTACTTACCTCCGTAATATTATTTCATGAGCAATTATTCGGTATTAAATGCGAATCTCTTGCCATCCAGATTTGAATCATGGTGAACATTAATGTAGTACCGGTCGTATAAATTAATTTATTAAATGTAATGATTATTAATATTTTCGTCATATAACGCTATTACTGTATCTGCGTACGATTAAAGTAATTATCATGTACTACGTACTCCTGCCCTGCTTAGATTTCACTCCAGGATTATTCGGCCTTATTTTACTAATCGATATTATAGAGTAAGAGTTAAATATACAAGCCAGATCGAGTAGATAACAATCCTAATCTAATATTTAAACTTTGATCTTGCAATTTCCAATTATATCTATTCTAACGCAAATTTTTTGACATTATGAAAACTTATCGTTATTATTAATTATACAAAATGTATAACGATATTATTTGATATATATAGCAATTAATATAACTTTTATTAAGATTGATTACGTAGTATATACGTATACGTAGTTTTAATATGCTTATACGTAGTCATCATTGGTGCTAAACACTACATAATCAGTTTTAGCATACGTATACGTATGTCAACATCGCTAATAATCAGGTCACAGTCACCAATAATAATGAATAAAATGTATAAATAGTAACGTCAAACCTATGATCTGTGTTCGTAAAAAATATTTATTTCTGCACAAGAAATTTAACATAGTGTAATAAATAAAAATATACTGGATATAATGCTAAATACGTACTAAAGCTATTATGTAGTAAAAAACATTGGATTAAAATAATTAAAAAATTATTAATTAAAATTTAACTACGTATAAATTTAGATCTAGTAAACACACATATATATATATAGTATATGTTGTAAGTAGGAATAGATTTGGAATTTCATAGAATCTAGGGTTACGGTATAGGGGTTTATATAAATAAATTTTACTTTAATTTTATTAAAAAATTTTCAATTTATATATATATGTGTTTTAATATTGTTTTAAGGCAATTTCTACTTGAACACTAGTGTATGAAACACGGGTATATAAAAAGCCAATCAGGTTACTCGATTAGGTATAACGTCAAATTATTGCTTTCTTTAAAAAATCGTTTATGAAACCAACTTTTTAGTATTATTAAAAAAAAATTCCTCGCGAAATTTTGATATAAACTATTCCCCACTCCTATCTCAAGCCGACCATTACCCTTAACCTTAGATAATGATTAACTTTTCGTTTATTCAAGAATTAATATTTGTGTACTATACACTATGTGTACATTTAGAAATTTTCTTTATTTATTATTAATTTTTAGAAAATTTATTAGTTTACATGTAGTGTTTATACACAGATATATTTATTAAATTACAGATTCGTATAGCATACCAATCAAAATTTTTACAAACAAAAAATTAAACCTTGCTTATAGTTAGAATAAGAGTGGATTTGGGATTGAGTGAGATATAGCCTATATCAAAATTTTACAAGGAATTTTTTTTGTTAGAAGCCAAAAAGTGGTTTTGTAATCAATATTTTGAGATATCTATATTACCCATATACATACACCCAGTGTATAAATAGAAATTCTCTAGTTTTTATACCCTAAATTTATTATTCTTTTTAAACTTTGTGTAAAAATATCTTAGTAATTACCAAGCCAAATTTGATAAATTTTTTTTCTTTAAATTTAAATTTTATAGATTTATAAAATTCAAATAAAAAATGTTTATAGAATTTGACCTAATAGTTATTAAACAAATTTTATAAAATTTTCTTTAAATTTTGAATAAAGATATTTTAGCAACTATTAAGTCAAATTTGATAAACTTTTTTTTTGTTTGAATTTCATGAATCTATAAAATTCAAATAAAAAAAATTTATTAAAATTGACTTGGTAATTGTTGAAATCTTCACTTAAAGTTTTTAAAAAAATTTAAAACATCTATTAAAACAAAGCTATACTAAAATTTTTTAAACTTTGAATGAAAATATCTCAACAACTATCAAGCCAAATTTGATAAACTTTTTTTTCAATTTTATAAATTCATAGAATTTAAACAAAAAAAAGTTTATTAAATTTAACTTGATAATTGCTAAAATATTTTTATTTAAAATTATAAAAAAATTTTAATACAATTTGTTTTGATAAATGTTTTAAATTTTTTTTTAAACTTTAGATAAAGATTTTTTAACAACTATCAAATCAATTTCAATAAATTTTTTTTTATTTAAATACTATAGATTCGTAGAATTTAAATAAAAAATGTTCATCAAATTTGACTTAGTAGTTGCTAAAATATCTTTACTCAAAGTTTAAAAAAAATTTTGTATAGTTTGATAGATGTTTTGATTTTTTTTAAACTTTGAACAAAAATATTTCAGTAACTACTAAGCTAAATTTGATGAACTTTTTTTTTTGAATTCTATAAATTTATAGAATTTTTTAAAAAAAGTTTATCAAATTTGGTTTAGTAATTACTAAAATATCTTTGCTTAAAGTTTAAAAAAAGTTAAATTTGCAGAAAGATATGAATAATAAATTTGAAAGAATAAAAATTAGCCTTCTTATAATATAGTCAGATCTCATTATAGTTACTCTTGATATAATTATAACCTTATTATAATCATACTATTTCTTAATCTTAAATATTATAAAACATATAAAATTTGATCTTAATATAGTTATATTTATCAAATATTTGTTTCTCAATCTGGTGATTATATTGAGATCTAACTGTATTATAATTGAAATTTTTTTTTCTTCATAATATTATAGACTTTTACTAAAATGCACCTATGGTGCAATAATCACTTATTGCTATACATATAAATTTCACTTAATTCGTATATACATATATTTGTCTAAATTTATATATACATATGTAGCATGCATACCCTTGTCAATAAATCGCAAATTCATAAACAGTATTAGGTACTGTATGCACTGCTAAACCGTATTACACAGTTTATATCAAACGGGCGTATATTTATTTATCACCCACAGCAAAGTCTACATAGATATTTAGTATGCTTAAGGCAGATGATCTGCAAAGGATTTTATCTAATAGCCCGCCTAACCCTAACGCAAAAAAGAACTATATCAGTGCTCGCCCTAATCCTAACTTTTAAAAAACAACACTAGAAATGTGACACATTTAAATACGTACCTTGTTCAATACATATAGTCGAATGCATACAGTACATCGATTTAAGTAAATCCAATAAACTCAATTGCAGCATTAAAATTTTCGTTACAATATTAAAATTTTTTTTCTTTATTTTTATTTTTTTTTCTTACAAAACATACAAACGAAAATAAATAAACAAAACATAGGATCATACACTTCATCGCTTACGTTCCAGTATCTACCTATGCTTATAAATATGGACAATAAAACATACAATCGTTAAGGCTCTGTAGGCGTCAGATAGGACTATTATAATATAGTATATAGCGCACTATTTTGTAATAATCCTACCCAGCACTTGCAGAGCTCTAATAGAACATATGATAGTATAACAAAGCATATTATGAATTGCAATCGCTAATACATACAATCATCAGTAAACACAAAACGTCGATACACACAAAGATACATGCAAACTAACACGCAAATACTACATGAAACATGTGCAAATATAATTATCACATCATACCATTACTGATTTGGGCAGCAAGATTTACGATGACCATCTTGACCACAATTTCCGCATATATATGCACGTTTTTTCTTGCCTAAAGATCCATTTTCATGCATTAATTGAGGTGTATAAAAAAATATATAAACCACTAACATAGTACCTTGAGTAATTGTTTGCACTGTGTCCTCATTATTGTTAATTGTCATACTAGTGCTTGTCCCTAATATTATTGCTATAATTTAGAGAAAGTCAATAATAAAGTCAATAAATATATGCAATTACCTTGTTCTTGTCCTTGAACGTCTTGAATTTGTTCATGCATTATTTGACCTTGTTCTTCAGAACCTTCAACACCTTCAGTACTGTCTACATTGATTGATTCATTATTAAGGTTGGAATTAGCCGTCCTCACTAAATCCTCATTTTGCGGCAAATTAGTTGTTTCCTTTGACACTTTTTTTCGTGCACCATCATTGAATGCCGCTATACGTTTTTGACGTTTCCGACCCTTAGTTCGTGGGTTTAGAGGATTGCTAATTGTATCATAATTATATTCATCATCTGATTGCAAAACACGCCCTTCTTGTTCTGCTAGTTGCCTTTCCATTTCACTAATATATTGCTGATGTAATTCATAAAGCTCTTCAGTACGCCCAGTTTGGATTGCTAAATTCAAAGTTCTTTTCATTAGACCAAAACCCTTTCCATAAAGAGCTCGACTTTTCATATGATGTTGTATTCTGGGTGTAAAAACACATTGGCCATGGATTAAATCAATTAAAGAAAAATCAACTTGGACGTCATGTTCAAATACACCAAATTTCCCCCCGCTTCGAATTGAAATTGCATTATCGTTACTATAATCATTTTGTTGCATGGCTCGATCGTTAAAC